CTGCCATTAATTATACCACCCTGTATATTGTGAAACATAGATAACGCTTGTTTACTATACCGTTATAATTCACCATCTGGGATAACCCATTGAAACATTTATTTATTTCGAAGCTATTCGATAAGGGAGCTTCATATTCTTATTTATTATTGCTTATACGAAATATTTAATAGGAGTTTACGTTATATGAGCCATGCAGGGGGGTGTTGGGTGCACAGGGTCAAAGTTTGTTATCACTCTTAGACTAAACACTAAGTTCAAAATATACTAACATAGTCTTATAGTTATCGACATTTTGATAATTCAAGGCTTTGTTTATTATTATTATTATTATTATTATTATTATTATTATTATTATTATTATTATTATTATTATTATTATTATTATTACTATTATTATTAATATTATTAATATTATTAATATTCTTATATTCTTATATTAATATTATTAATATTCTTATATTCTTATATTCATATATTCTTATATTCCTATTATTATTATTATTATGATTAGTTTTTGTGTGTTCCCATATGGGCTTTTCAACACTCAATTACAAAAATTATTACAAATATGTATATAGTGTAAAATTATTAATATGTTCTATTTAATTATAATAAAAATGATTGTCCAGTTCTGTATTTAATACAAGGTAAAATTTCCATATACCGTATGCTAGAATATTAAAATATACTATTATGAAACTGTTTCATTAACTGTTCTTTTAGATTCTTCTTAAATTTATCAAGGGTTGTGATCTGCTTCAGTTCACTGTCCAAATCATTCCATATTTTCACTGCCCTATAATAGTATACAAATAACGAATGTTTATGAGTGCAATGGTAAGAATATTTTCATGAGGTGAAAGATGGAATGTTCCATTCAACGAGGCGACAGCCGAGTTGAATGGAACAACAAAAAAAATAAAAAATTCACCGAATGAAAATATTCTTACCATTGCACGAATAAAAACATTCATTATTTGTTTTATATAATACCAAACTAGATAAATATTAAAAGGTTTACTGTAAGCTCCCGCCATTTTGACGAGTCGTATCTGCATTAAATCCCATTTACGGAGTTTCGTCAGTTTCGAATGTCGGATTAAAATAAACTGCGATCACCGTACGAGGCTACGCAAAAACGGGCATAAACCGACCTACCAAATTAATAGAAATAATTTCATCAGAATGAGTTCCTTCATCTTCGTAGAACGCTACTCCAGCATTATTACACACCACGTTCAAACCACCCATTTGAGTTTTCGCTCGATGAAATACATCTAGAGAACAAAATATACGAGTTATCAATATCAATGAGATCCATGTTTATTGGAAATACATAGCATAATTGTAGCTTGACCCATATTGTCCATAAGGTACACTTTTAAAATCCTAATTATCCTATATATGTAATGGGAACAGGGAAAGGTTCGCATGAGTCACTTGTAAAAATTATAGTGTGCAAAACCGACAACAACAAAAACGGACATGTAACACACTGATTCCCTTCCTGGGCAGTGTAATGAGCAAATGAGAGAATGATCAAATGCTCTGGATCAAATGAGAGAATGATCAAATGAAGAACGTTAATTTACACTAGATTTCATCCATGAAACCGTTTGACGTTCACTAGTGGCTAATCTAAATGCAAGATTCAATTAAAGGTTACTAAAAAATAAAACATGGGAATATTAAAAACCAATCTCGTTCCCAGAGTATGCCTGTTCGTGGGTTATGTAGTGCCACTACATAATCCGCGAACAGGCATACTCTGGGAAAGAGATTGATTAAAAACATTCAATTTTCTCGTTTTTGTGAAAATACCCACCTGCATGCAAACAGTTACCTGCGCCAAATTTATCCGCTCAAAACCCGCACCACTTATCCACGAACCCCCGAATTCATTTACATAGAATTACATTCATTCACACAGAATCACATTTACATAGAGGCTGTATACGTACCGCGTAGTTCATCCTTCTTTGAAACATCACACTTTAGAAACACAGCTTTTCCACTACCATATTTTTCATCAAAACTTTTCTGTGCCTTCTCTCCTTCCGAGACTGAAACATCCAAAAAGCAAACCTGTGGACAGTAATTGATAAGGTTGAGCAAAATACTTGTCAATAGCTAATTGATACGAGTCGGCCAGCATATTTTTCCAAATTACGATGTTTTGCAATAATTAACCGGCGGCATTATCATTTAATTTACTGTTTCTAAAGTTGATCAATTGCAGGTGACACTGGGAGGTTGTTGTTGTTGTACTGGCTTGTTTATCTATTCTTTGAGCTTCTGCTTTGTATTAATGAGAGTGAAATAGTAGATAAAAGAATTGTTGAACTCGGTGATCGCAAAATATCGTGATTTATCAGTGGCTCGCCACCGCTCACCGAAAAAATTATCACCATGCAATTAAACCACATATGAAAACGACTTACAAGAAAATATTTCAATCCATATTTTGTATCATCACATCAGTCAGCGCAACTTATCTTTACGATTTTTGTACATTTGAATTTGACATTTTGCAGTACATGCAAATAGTATTAAATGTGACCACAAACTTATAATAACCTAAATCTGTTATTTAGCATTGTATTCCGTATATAGGTCAACCCATAAACCATTCCATACCTTCAGTTCTTTGTAAGAAAACTCTCCATCGTTAATTTTCATGATACTGAAAGATATGCCCTTTGTGCTTGGTTTGGGAAATTGGTATACTAAATACTACTATACTAAATCTACTACTATACTAAATACTACTATACTAAATACTACAATACTAAATACTACAATACTAAATACTACTATAGTTGCTTGCTCAACTGGCAATACTGTAATTGCATGCAAGGTTGACATTAATTTATTCACCAAACTTAACCAAGTGCCCACGTGATTTTCAAAGCAAAGTAACGCTTGACTTGACCGTTGCATATTTGCTGTGTAAATGTTCTTTCACGATACAATAATTTGAACTAATTTTTCAGTTAGACATGTGTTTTACAGAATATATAATTATCTGCTTATCATCAGGCATATGGTTACTTTAAACAAACTTTTGTCGGAAATGCCCGAAGGGGCTGCTTGTAAATGCCCCCATGCACCCTAGGAAGGTTCGTGGACTTACTTCCTCTCAACACCAGCCCCCAATTGTAAATTCGCTGCGCGGTCCCTGGCTTTATCACTGGTTTCGACGTGTGCTACGTTCTGAGTTCTGACTTCCAATTCGCGTTTATATTACAAAAATATTATTCTTAGGTCGTGAGCAACGGTCATTGGATTTTTGTTCTACGATTTAGGAACATGCAAACTTTGTCATGCCCTCGTGAAAACAAGCGTCGTGGCTTCTAACAAGATGAGACTTCCAGCCGTTTTCACTTGATTAAGGCAAAAGAAAAGATGCCGGTTTCCGGTTTCCCGACCCTACCTAGCTTTTGGACGCCGAAATCCCGACCCTAAACTTTTTTTGGATCATGCTCGTAAGTTTTTCCACTTAGAGGAAAATGTTTGTGGAAAATGGAAATTTGAGGCAATATTAGGGAAACTTATCTTCGAATGTGGAAGCATTGACTAAACAAAATGGCGTCCGGTTGTTAGGAAAATTAAAAAAAAAGTTAAAACCGACCTACCCTACCTACGTTTTTACAAGAAGAAATAGGGAAACCCACATATATTTTTGGCCTAGCAAAAAAGCATCATGTCGAAAATATATACAGTAGTACATGCAAAGTTTGATAAAATTACTAAAATATTACCGAATAATTTAACACATTACGGTACATTAACTTGAAAGTTAAAGTGAAAAATGGTACGTTCGTAAAACGTTTTGCCTCCCACCTCCATGCTCGCCAACAATTTTGGAAAAACAAATATTAATTAGCGACTGAAATGTTGTCGGTAAATGCGATACTACCCCCATCCCTGGACCCCTGGCTGTTGGAGTGCGGACTATATTTAGTAGGCCTATAGTATTATGTTTGATTTGATCAAGAAATACTTTATACTTAATGATTTAAAAATTGTGGAAATCTTGACGTGCAATCACACGAGAGGTAAAGAAGGTATACAAATCCGTCGATCCGCCCAAATTTGAAGCAAAATCCGCGAGCCGACAATGATCTTGTCTAAATTTGAATCCGCTAAAAGCTTTACTATGAAGTCACAATCCAGGATCCGAACTAAATTGCAAGCTAAATCCACAATCCGAGCCAAAATATTACATAAATCCGCCATCCGCTGTATTAATAAGATCCGCAAATCCGTTTAAAATATTCGCCAGATCCGAAATTTTTTTCTGTGAAATCCGACGATCTGAAAACCTATTCCCCCCCCCCCCCCCGGAAAGGCTCTATTTGCCCGCGGATGCCTCGGTAGTATGGGCAAATAGAGTCTGGGTCTCTTGTGGTGCAATGGTTCCTCCCAAGACCACTCTACAGAGTCTTTCGCGCGATCTAGGACTATGTGTTGTCAGGGCGCTATAAAACACGTGTTTTATAGCGCCCTGCGGCCCTGGTGTTGTGGAGATTGTACTGCGCGTGCATGTTGTGTTCTATATGTGCTCAATATTTTACTGGATGCAAACGATACGAAAATTTCATGGCAAACGTCATGCCTATTCAGAAGGACATTTGCTCCGTGTGTTTACAAATCGAACGCATACTCATTTTATTCAGACATAAAACGGACATTTGAACTAAGTCTAAGATTATTATTCTCAGGCAGGTCGTAAACGCTTGCCTTAGACAAACCTTCCCAAATCATGTACTGCCTTTCAAACTCAATGACAATGTTATGCAAACCGTCGAAGGAGAAATTTAAACACAATTAATTAAATATGGGATTTTTATACATATATACTACCTTTCCACCCGCCTTCAGTAAAGCAGAGGTAATTGCGTGACCAATCCCTTTTGCTCCACCAGTAACAATTGCCTTGTAGTCAGCCATTCTGTGACACACTGTTTCAGTTTGTATGAATTCCTTATTAAGTTACTTGAAAACACAGCACCAATCGAGTTTTGTTACCGGAAAAAGCAATGCCAAAGGTCAACTGAATCGTGCAACGTATTTTCTGGTTCTTTGATTTTCGGGTTCAGATTACCGATTGTTCGGTTCTCATTTTCAGGTTGTTGACTTTTATTATATTTTAACATAGATAATTGTAATAAGCAAAAAATAAGTTATTAAATATTTTATATTGCTGAAATTCAGCCCGGGCTGAAAGTTTTATCGTGCAATCCGGCCTGAGAATAAAACTCTGTTAAAACCCGGAAACCAGGTTAAAACTCAGACCCGGGCTGAAAACTCTGCAATCTACATGTAATCAGCCCTAAATGCAAGTATAACATACAGGCATATAAAAATGCAGGTAGGACAGTCATACAGCTATTAGCTATATACGTTTTAAAATACAAGCGTATTTTTGCGGTCGAAAATAAAAATATAAGATAAATGTTCTCAAGTGAATTAGTGAATTACCGCCGGAGTGAACAATATTATGTAATATAATTCGCGGTTCACAGAGATTCTCTTTAGTCACATGCAGTTTCACAAAGTGACGCTCTGGAGAAAGCTGGTTTCAATCACTTGCAATTACTGATTAACTATATTTTTCATGCACATGGCCTTTTGTAATGCTTTTGTGACTGGCACACAATGGCACGAACTTAGTACAAGTTGGTACAACCTGGTACAAGTTGCTACCTTGACCGACGTACAATCTTGGACATAACTGGTTGAGACTTTTTTCCCCCTATTCAAGGTTCGCATATTTTTATGATAAAGTCCATGTTGAATCATGTTGTCCTTCTTAAGCCCCGCTCCCCCAAGTCAATGTTGAGCTTGTGTCATGGTATACGGCGTGTTTTAAATACAACATTAGGGACCTTTAGCTAGCAGGACGACGACGGCTATTAATACAATGAAATTTATGACAGCGTAGAAAGAAAATGCATAATTAAAGGTCCCATGCATGGGTTAGACACCTTACGATTTTAGGACGGCAACCGCGACGGCAACGGCTACCAATACAATAGATCATTGAGAAGAATTGAGTAATTACAATAAATGAATAATTTAGACATTGTCCTCGCTCTGCTTAAAACGCCAAATCACAGATTTTCACGTGTTGATACAGCGACTGCATTCCAAGCCACAACAAGTGCAACTTCAAACGGGGTTTAGCAGAACTCTTCCCAACCATAAAACCCATGTCTTCAACTTCTAAGACTGTATTAAATTCATACGATTGATAATATACGACGAACTATCGACTACCATTTATTTGAAGGAGTTTGTTTTGGCCGTCGCCGTCGCGGTTGCCGTTCTAAAATCGTAAGGTCTCTGATTACAACAGCAAACCAAAGATTTTCACGTTTTGTACACAACGTCTGCCTTTCAAGCCGCGAGAAGTCGTCCTCGCCAAATTGACTTAGTAGAAGTCTTCTCAACTATAAACCTCTGTCTTAACCTTCTTAAATTGCAATAAATTCAAACAACGGATAATACAAGACATGTTGATCTTAAAGTTACTTATTCGAACGAGTTTATTTTGGCCGTCGTCGTCGCGTTGCCGTCACCTTTTGCTAAAGGTTCCTATTACTGAGGTGTGGGGGGGGGAGGGGGAGGGGGAGGGGAGACAACGTTTGTTTTGTCAATTCAAGGGTTTTGTCCAAGATTGTAGCTATAATATTCTACATTTCACAATATGTGAGGTAATATATTAGATATGTAAAAATTTAATCGAACCTAAAATAGAAATGTTATATAACGAAACTAAAAATAATGACATACTATAATAATTCATGCATAAACGGTTAATCATGGGCAGTCTCCGACGTATCAAACCCAGTATAGACCCAGGCGGGCTGGGCTGCCAGTGTGAACGCGGCTTTATAGTTCAATAGTTCTATCTCGACGACAAGCTAAAAACGTTTCGTGCATGACTGTTATGTCTTAATGGAAACAGAAAAACTCTTCAAAAACGACAGCGTGGCAACAGTTTACGACAATCAGGGGGGGGGGGGCAAAGGTCCCTTTTAGGGTGACCGTACGTATTTGTCTCAACTGAGTACGACCTCCGCCATATACGACCTCCAGCCTCGCTGGTCTAAATATTATGACCATTTGTCTGAGATTTGGGGATTTTTCTCTCAATTTTCGCATTGTTTACATCATCAACTGATCAAGTTGCAGCAGCCGTTTTGTCGTTTATACACAACAGTCACAGGTAAGCCAGTCGTTTCGTGCTATATACACAACTTTAAGCCAATATTCATCTGCAGTAACGTACATAAATTGTAGCCGTTCATAATGTTTCATTACGTTCATAATACTGTTTTTACCTCGCTCAGAACCTCAATCCCACTCAAACGAGATCAAAGCTCCAGTTGTGCAATAAAGCAAGAGTTTGATATGCACGCAAAACAATTACGTAAAACTAAATGAAAAGTCATATTGACGCAATAGACCTTATGGATAATGACGTCACAAGGCTTGATGCCCGCGAGGAATGCCGGTCTTAATAGTCATCGCCTGGGAAAATTTCGATAGTTGTTTGTTTAATTTTGTTTATAATTTACTTTTCCCGGGCGATGACTACCAAGACCAGCATTCCCCGCGGGCATCAAGCCTTGTGACGTCATTATGCATAAGGTATATTGCAGTCGATGCTATCCTGTGTTCAGTATTCTCTCACAGACGGTCCAGAACAAACAGAAGTTTGCTGATGTCTGCGCGGTTTTTTACCTCGTCAGATAACTTTAATGTTATGACAAATTGAAAAAGGTTTCTACATAATTTGAAAACAACTTTCTCTAGTTTCATACGGTCAAAAAAATATTTACATGCCGATTTTTCGTACTGAATTGCGTAATATTCCGCATAGGAGCCTAGGGCATGCCTACAAGACAGGCTTCAATTTCCCCCATCTTGGCCTCATAAACAAAGCCAAAGTTATCGTTCCACGTTCCATAGACTACGTGCCGGTTGTACAAAAGGCGTTTAACTTAAACGGTTGTCTATTTTGTATACTTGTCGGCTTTCCAAAGTCATATTGTTTATTTTCATAACTAAAAGTGGTACAAGACCAAGTCAGTTAAAAGTGAGTTTTTCATGTTCATTGGATTTAAAAAGATAACTGCTCGACAGGGTTGTGCATTTCTATTACTATCTCATGCGAGTTAAACGGTGGATAGAGAGTTAAACGCCTTTCGTATATCCGGCCCCAGATATAAATAAAAATAAATACAAAGCTGAATCTAAATAACGTAAACCAGAAAAACTTAGTCAAAGTTGTTATTTTACGCTGTACTCTTGTAGTGTACATTAAATATTACATTGTACATTTACACATGTTGAGAAACTAAGTACCTTGAAGTTATTCTGACCATACGAAAACCTTTCCACTTGAATTTCCTGATGCAATGATGTTTTTCGACGGATGGAAGACATTCGTTGACGCAATTGTTGTAAAATTTTCATTGAACATCTCCAAGAGAGGGGCTTTTGTCCTTTGCTCGACATGATAGAATTGAATCTAAGAAATATTTATCAGATGCCATATAGGTAACGTAAAGGGCAAAAGTATACGTGCTAATTATCCAGACTTACAGCTAAAACAAGTAAAAGGTAAATTAATTACGATGAACTGAGTTGAAGGTTTACTATACAATCTATGCAGGGGCGCCGGAAGAACAATTGGGCGAGGGGCATATATATATATATATATATATACATATATATATATATATATATATATATATATATATATATATATATATATATATATATATATATATATATATATATATATATATATATATATATATATATATATATATATATATATATATATATATATAAATATATATATATATATATATATATATATATATATAATATTATATAATAATAATAATAGTCTTTATTAATCAATACTCGAAACACACGTCCGAGTTTACATGGAATTATAAGAATATAGTCTATTTTACATTAATTATTTACATCAATAATTTAATAAAACTAGTAAAATTCTACAATATTGTTAAAAAGTATTAAAATGTATCATACACTAGATAAAATTGAAAAGACATCTATTTACAAAAGATTTTTAAATCTTTCAGTTCTTACTAAGGGCAGCTCAAAGTCATGTCCCCTTTGCCTTAACGTTCGATTTAATTTATTTGGTAAAAGTTCTCTTAGTGCATTATTTTCATCATCTAATATTTTTTTCCATAATCTCTTGTCTCTCTTATTAATTATTTCTCTAAAATTAGATTTCTCTACTACATACCCATTACGGTATGCACGATTTATAAACATATCAATCTGACTAATGTATTTAGTGTAAGATGCTCCTCCCCAAAGTTCAGTTCCGAAAGTGAATAATGACATTATTAAACTCTGAAAGAGAAGTTCTAACTGCTTTGTTGTAAAACCATAATATTTACACACCCGTAAAATGTACATTCGACCACTCGCTTTTTTAAGCATCTCTTCGAAGTGTATGTATTTCCTCAAGGGTAATTCCAAGTATCTTGAGCCATGTTTTCCGTTTGATGGACGGAATGCAACTGGGTAGAGGTATTGATGTTCTCCCACGAACAATCATTTCGTATGTTTTATTCATATTCAGCACCATTCGATTTTCATCCGACCATAATTTCATATTTTCTACCTCTTCAGCACTTGTATCATCCTCATCATAGCCCGGGGCTTCTATTGTTATATCATCAGCGAATTTACAGAGTTCATTGATTGGATTGACTGGTTTAATGTCATTTACCATTATTGAAAATAGTATCGGGCCTAGAACAGTCCCCTGAGGCACGCCACGATTAATTTTCAAGAACTCGGTTGTGATGCCATCAACTGTTACTCTCTGTTTGCGATCTTTTAAGAAATCTATCAACCAATTTATGATGTACGGGTTAAAAGGCAATTTCTTAACTTTTCCAAATAGTATGTCGTGTGGAACACTGTCAAACGCCTT